TAGATATATATATATATATATATACATGATACTTGGGCTCTTTCTGAGGTAAATAAGTCATTTTCAAGAACTCGAGAAATTTTGTTAACAAGAGCACTCTTTCCGGAAGCTTTTGGTCCGATTAGTAAGAGGGATGTAGTATTCGGCACATCGTACACACTCGAATCTATAGCAACTGCCTTTTCAGCCAATGAACCAGGTTTGTAGCTGAAACGAAAACACAGCATGAAAAAAATTACTCGACAAACATGATTTAATACATTATCAATAATAATTGTAATATAAGCGCGAGATCGCAATAACCATTTTCATCTTCCTTAAAAGCAATGAAGGTCGTCTAAGTAACGACCCTAGATTAAAATAAAAATAAAATAAATCAATTAAAAAACCTCAAAATTTTAGTTTTGGCCTCATCCAATCTGTCAGTCCGAGGTTGCAAATCCTCGTAAGTTCTCGAAACCTCTGCATACAGCTTCAATCTCTGTCTTCCCACAGCATCGTAAATTGAAGAAATACGAGGAATTAATCCACTCTCCCCATTGGTCGGTGAATCATTCCCAAACCTTTGACTCAAACCCTCATCCTCACTGGACACAAACAATCAACCTCAATTTATGAACAATTAGGGAATATGTAAAAATGGGGGAAAAATTAATCACCTGGAAACACTTGAATTAATTAATTCGTGAGGGAAATCCTGACCTAATAACGATTCATCCTCTGCAAAGAGATTTTTTTTTTTTTTTATGTTTTTTCAGATAATCTCATGGGCAAAAAAGTAATATCGTACAAAAAAGTGAATTGATTTGAAATCAAGTACCGGTTGGAGGAGGAGACAAGTAAGTTTCACCACCCATGGATGGCAGTTCGCTTTCCTCAGCTGTAGCTCTCAAAATTCTAGAGAGAGAAGAACAGTGATCGATCTGTGACAGAGATATAGAGAGAGAGAGAGAGAGAGAGAGAGTGGGAAACGAGGTTGTCCCATGGAAAACGCCAACTGAACTGCAAAATATCCGATTGCTTTACACCTGTGACTTAGTCCTCGTTGACGTGGCACTTTCCTGGATTTTCCCTTTTTTTTTTCTTTTTTTTTGAGAAGAAAGCCTTGGTGATTTAAATATTGGGGCTCTTCGACATAACCCCATTACTGTTTTTTTAATGGGGATAGACCCAAATATTTTAGACCATTTGAGAAAGCTCATGTTCCAATTTCAACTATTATGATTTTCAGGTTTACCCCCGCCCGCCACCTCATCACTGAGTCACGCGCTCCGCGAATTTTTATTTTTGCATAGTCTATTTGTCTTAAATCGACTATGCTTTATAGTCGATTAAGAAAATTCTTTTTTTTTTAATTTCTTTTTTTCTGATTTTGTTTTTAAATTTTTTTTGATTTTTTTAATTTTTTTTCTCTATCAAATTTATTAATGGATAGTCAATTAAAAATTTAACTATTAAAATAACAAATCACAATTACAAAAAAAATACAAAATCAATTATATTAAAAGAAAATATACAAACATTGTAATTGATTTATACATTGGAGTTAATAAACAAAAAATCAAAAAAAAAAAAAAAAAATTACAACTAGAGTCGGTTAACCTTAATCGACTACTGAACATAGTCGATTAAGCCGTAATCGACTACTGAACATAGTCGATTAAGCCTTAATCGACTACTGAACATAGTCGATTAAGCCTTAATCGACTATTGAACATAGTCGATTAAACCACGTAGTCGATTAAGGGCCCTGCCTGCGCGAATTTTTTTTTCTGCGCCGTCTTCCGCCACAATCCACCAAAAAACCCTAGATCTGTTTTTCATCGTCACCACGTCGTCGCCACACCACAGCATCACAACCCCACGTCCATATTCTAACTGTTTTTTATACAAACAGTCAAAACAGAACCATGTACTACGGTCAAAATCACCAAAAGAAAGACACCAACCAAAGCAGACCCACCACCCATCAAAATCCGATTCCAATCGACAATGTTACCTCTTTTCGCCGTCGATGTAGCAATCGTGACATTCGAACTCAGAATCGCTATCAAAATCATCATCATCTTTATGGCTTTTGTTAAGATCTGCAACGACGGCGACGAAGACGGCAACGGCAATGACGACGACGGCTTCAATGGAATTGGCATCGTTGTTCTGGCGGTGATGTCGGTGGTTGGTTCTTCATCTTCCGATAAGAGAGAATGAGAGAAAAGTATAAAGGAGAGAGAAAAAAAAAAGCAGAGAAGAGACGACGAGAGAAGAGACGGAAAAGAGAAAATAAAATTAGGGTTTTGAAAGAGTATATTAGACAATCAGGGTAGTTTTGGAATTATGAAAATATCACTTGGGTGGATATTAGGTAAGGGGGTTTTCTCAAATTATTTTTGGGAGGAGGTGTTTCCTTAACTTATTTTTTTTCCTAGATGGGTGGTTTTTGCTAGTTATCCCTTAAATATTATATTTACTACGTCATTATGAACATTATAATTGATGATATTCGTAGTAAATAATTATAGAGAACCTTTTACTTTTATTTTGTTGGAAATTTTGATTAACAAGCCTTTTGCTATTTCAATCTTACATTATCACATGTAAAGCCCACATTATTATACTTGAACTACATATACAATTATTTATTGGGTAAATTCCACTTTACCCCTTCGTACTTTGGCCTGAGAGTCAATTTAT